CCCACCGAGACGGTATCGACAGTTCGGACATTTTACTTATCCCGGTAATTTCTTGGGCCAACCTCGTACCCAGTGTTATCTCCTACGTGAGATACCGATAATTTTGACAATTTTTTTATGACGTCACCGTCCGTTTCCATAGACGCTACCGATTGCGATTTACGCGTCAGTGATACGTATTTGCGAGTGTTGCCCGATCGATTGGCCGATTCATATAGGAGGATACATATGTTAATAATATTGACGCATGACAAATTTCAAAAAAAAAAATCGATCGCTAATTTTCACATGGGAATTAATTCACGCGAGTCTCGTAATTTCACGCTCTATTGGGTGTCGGGGTGTATAGTGTCGAATTGCGGGAATTCGATTTTAGAGGTTTGTGTAGCGTTCGCGCATACGTGCCATAGGCATGGAGTGTGCATACACGTATGTATAGATAGGTGTATCGTGCGTCGTAAAACAGAATATAAATGCGAACGAGTGGGAACACGCGGTAGCGGAATATTTTCGAAGCGTCGAATCGCGCGAATGAAACTAGGCGGCTGGAGGAAAAATGAAAATGAAAAAATTCTGTCGCATTTTTTTTTTCATGCCAATCTTTCATAGACCACGTCGAATTCTAAATATAAAATCTGCAGTCAGTTTTTCATTGATTTTGGTATAGAGTGAGGTGCGAGATAACTTTGGGGTTTCAGGGAGCGTCGCGACGGCGACGTCGAATGATCGGCAATGATTAATTTCAGCCTTCCGATGATCGGGTCGGGCGCTGGAACTCAGATGAATGACAGCTGAATACCCGTTATAAGTAATATATATTAAAATACACGTGCTAAATGGAAAGCAGCCTTAAGGCAGTTACTGATATAATTCAGCGTATGCACGTCCTACCTATAGGTACGGTCCTGGGATATTGTGTATTCGGATGAAAGAAATTTTGTTCAATCCGTCAACGGTCTTTCGAGTGGCATCCCAACGAAATCAACGGGACAGACGCTGCCGCAGCCTCCGATAATTTTTCCCAGGGCTCTCTGGCGCTCCAATTCAAATTTATCTGGGCAAATTGAAATGGTCGTTTGCGTCAGAAGAAGCGTCGCCAGTATCGGCCTCGCAAACTGTTCAAACAAGTCGAGCGCCGGCAGTTCGCTCGCTCGGGTATGTAACAATGTTGACACGCGTGTGACGTGTAAATTTATATCTCGAGGAGGAGAAGGAGAAACAGGGGGCGAAGAGGGGGCGTCTCACCTCTCAAGGTGAGCACCTTGAAATTTTTTAACGGTACAGGGAAGGCGGTTCGATATAATTTTGAAAAAAGATAAAAGTTAAGAATTGAGAGGGTCAAGACAAAAATAATAATTAACGATAGAAAAAAAAAAAAAATTTTTTTTCTCTAGGAAATTGACGTCGCGTCGTCGTCGCGATAGGCGTGTTTACAGGTCGCTCGTTTGGAAATCCTTTGAGTCAATTTGGCCGCGTCAATTGCATGGAAGTAACGATGTCGATGGAGGGTGTGGGGGTTGTCGAGGGTGAAAATCGAAGGGACGAAAAAGAAAGAAAAAAGAGAAAAACAAAGAAAAATCACATTTCGCGGCAAATAAAGGGAGAAGGGTCCCTCGTTAGCTTTACTTTCTTAAGCGGCATTTTCAATGAAGGGAAAATTTAAAATTTCGTTAAATTACCCGAGCTCAAGTGTTCCGATCTCTTCTGGGGCGGGTCTAACGAGCTTCTTGTCGAGTCCCTGAGAACCTGCCCTTTGATGTTACCCTCGTCCTGCGACACCACGGAGACAAATAACGTCTCGCACTTTTGACCCTCCCGATGCTGCATCTTCGACTATTTTATTTCCTCCCTTATCGGGTCCAATCAATCGCTACATTAATACGTGACCTTCCGAGCTGTCTTTAGGTAAAGCGTGGCCTATATACCAACGTCAGGTGTTTCACGGCATTGGATTCTGTAAATCAATATGGTCCCCGTTTACGTCACACGCCTTCTATAAACTTAAGCCCCGTTCACACGTCACGCAAGGTACGAGGCAGATATCGTAAAAAAATGTTTCCAACAGGCCAAACTACGCAATCGATTAAAGAAACCGAGATAAGGTGGCAGCAAAGAAATATTTCGAAAAAATTACGAAAAGAGCGAATATCGCGCACGTGCGATACGCGCCCGAAAGAACAAGAGCAAGATAAAAATTGTCTGGTTGTACAGTTGGGCAATTATCGTTCAGCAATCGTCTTTACGTTAACACGTAATTATAGTTTTTTTTTTTTTTTTTTCTTTATAGTCGTACATAGAAACGAGGCTTAAATTTATTTTCATTGACGGTGATATATAAATATTTCTCTTTTAATTTTCCAATTTCCCATTCGATGTTCAATTTTTGTATTTTATCGTAAAATTCTTGATAAAGGATCGCCAATTGTCCAACGAGATGATAACCCGTCGCCGTTTCTCCCTCTTTCATGAAAACCCGAACAGACGATGTAAATCCGGGCGACTCTGTTGTCACGAGACACCTGCGCGCCTTTATCTCGTATCGCATGATAAAACAACGGAGGCCAAGGTGTTTCCTATCTAATGTCGGCCCCAGTGGAATTGTAATGGAATTCTAGAGAGTCTGGCGACGCGACGGAAAATACCCATTGCAAACTGTAGACCAATGCGAGAAGCACGTATACACACTGTACTATAGCATAAACGTAATAATTTGCGAATAACGATGACAAGTGATTATCGCTAATCGCTGTACTAATTGGGATGTCGTTACAGCTCGATTACCGTAATGCGAAAGAGAACAGGTTTGACGTTATGTATTCTACAATAGTAGAATGTATTTATGTATTTCTACAATAGGGCCAATTATACGCAATAAATATATATCAAAATCACACTTAAACCAGTATAGTTGTACTTTATTGATTAATGACCCAATCCCTGTAGTAGATGTCATTTGAGTTTGATCGATAATCCATTTTACATATACATACATCTTATTCGCACTACCCGCCAAGAGTATTTCCTAGGCCAAGATTATCCCTATGGCCATGAAGGAGGAATTCTAATTTCTAACGGTACCAACCGACTCAATACGGCGTCATTTATTTATGTACGTTTGCGCATTCATTATTAGTGAATGGCCGTGGAATTTGAGACCATTTATTCTACACACCTTATACGATCCAATAGCAATGAACTCGTACGGACGATTAATATTTCATTTTCCTTACGTACTAGCGAGGAAAATTCTTCGAATTTTTTCTTTCTAACGAGTGCTCGTCCTTCGCAAATCCATTGGCAATGAACTCGTACGCACGATTATCGTCGCCCTTCTGTAGTACCCAATCGGAAAAATTGATAGTTGATACCAATGAGCGTCTGTTTTCGTAAATAGTATACGAGCGTTGCGCATGCGCAGATCGAATCATCTATTACGAAGCGCCGACATTCTTGCTATTCCGAACGAGTACGCAACGAATCACGATTGTTTACGCTCACGCAACGCGGACTAAACTTAACGCGGACGTAAACTCCATAATCATTCTCGATTCTTCGAGGATTCAATTACTCACGTTACGAATGCTGGACTGATCCTGTCGATGATTTAACTGGAATCACTGCTCTTGCACTGATGTGTCACTGCTGTCACTGCCAGGTTGGTCGACTCGAGATTATTTGGTGATACGATGGATATCCAATTGGCGATGCTTATAGTGTTTTGTGTTATATATGTTTCTCTCTCTCTCTGTATTGTCGTATAAAAAAATAGCAAAAATTCACTCAACTCACTCGTACACGTAGAAAACTCACTGAAGGAACTGCGTCCGGTTATATTCAGTATGATTGCGCGTTGGCGATTAATAAAAAGAAACGTTACGATTTCGTTATTTCGTCTTGATTTCGTGGTCGTGCGTTTTTCTTTTTGTACATATAAGATTTTCTTTCGACGGGTATATATATACGTGAATGTGTCTCTGTGTGTGTATATGTGTATAAAAGTAAAAAAAGGATGCGATGAAAAACTAGAGCTGCCTGCGATCCGCAGGCGGAACACTTCTTCCCTCGCTGGCGCGGACACTCGTTCGTTAAAAACTTTCCCGAAAGACTTTAGCTTTTCGGGTGGCGCGCGCGGTCTTTTTGGGCTTTGGTCGATTCTTCGTTTATATATACATACATATATATATATATATATACCGTATTGTATCTCTTTTTTATATGTACATATATATATCCGTGGCGTGTGCACGTTCGTTTATACGTTTTCTGCGGTGCGTCGTTCGCGAGTACCGCTACAAAACTGATACGCGGGGGAACATGTGGAGGCTTACATAGAGGGTCATGGTGGGGAGTAGTACGGTGGCGCCATCTACAACGGGAATAGGAAGAAGACAGTTTATTCGAGGTGGTGGGGCAACAGTCGTACAGTCCTGGTGGGGAGAAATGGTGTAACAAGGCCGTGCGGATGGCGACAGAATCGCCCGCGCGACTCTCGTTGCTTTGTACTCGCGATAACGAGGAATTCGGGGGATGACCTGCCTGTCGTTTCATGAGAATTAATCCAGAATTATACTCTGGCACGTTACTGACACAGCACTGATGCTCTCTCTCTTCTGTAAGTTTTATATTCTTCTCTTCGTTCCCCATGCCTGTATCCTCGCGTGGTTGACGGGCTGGTCGGGCTGCTCGACGAAGCATTGAAAAACTAACTGAAGGTTATTCCCGTGGTAAGATGGCGCATGCTTATCGGGACTTGCGTGAATGTCTCGTGAATTAGTTTCGAGCTTATCGTACAGAACTAGCTGATTAACTCATTGCCCATTTACAATGTGCGATTTGGCTGATACGACGGTACGCGTGCTCCGAGCATGTAGTAAAGGTTACGTGAGTAACGCGTGTGTACATACATATAGATATACATATCCTCTGCAAGAGGAAAGCCAGGCTCGATCGTATAAACATGCATGTAATCGGCGGGTGGTGGTACGTGCCGTGAAAGTGTACGAAAATGATGGAAATTTTGTCGAGTGCTAATGGAAGTGGAACGTAGTTATATCAGGTATGACAACTTGTTGGAAATATGTCGTATTTAAGTGAACGATTAATATTACTTTATGGCTGCATATATATTTTTCGGATTGCCATTTACACTTGGAGTCTCTGTAAAAGAGCTGGACTCGCGGTTGCTGCAACCGTGAAATTGATATTTCTTCAGTGAAAACATTCAAGCTGATATCTCTAACCAGAAGCCGAAGATCGACTAGAAATTGATACTTTTTTTTTTCTTCTATTCAAGTAGGGAAATCATATTGACTAGTTCTTCTGTGTGCTTTTTTAAGTATCAATGCTCAATCGCATCTTTGATTATTCGCGTTTCATAAACTCACACTTACGGTCGTCGCTTTGCGAACGTCAATGGGTCAAGTTCGTACCGGAAGCGACATACGGCGAAGAGTTCGCTCTTGCTTATCAGCGTTATTGCGCACATTGTTTTTATCGCTTCCAGTGAGAACCCACCCACTCGTCATGTCATACGTACAAAATTGAACGTGCGTCAAAGTCCGGGCAGCGTTCGAATATTTCGCCAGGTTATTGGACATCGATCGATACGAGTTGATTAGTTTCCTTTCTTCACCCTCTCGCTCCTCTTTCACCTCGTATCTGCTGCTCGAACCATTTTTACTCTCATATTCCTACCCTCTTGAGCGTTGTCGCCCACGCTTTTTTTTTCTTTTTTTTTTTCCTTAACGACGCCTCGTCTTCCAGCTTTATCGATCTGGACGTGATTCGACTATATTATCCTTAAATGTTTTTTCCCCGAAAAAATTCAAAGTAAAAATTAATATTTCGACCTATGACGTAGCTATCGGAAAATTTTGATAGCAATCACTATGGTTGATAGTAAATGACGCGCTGACAGTCCTTCAATAAAACAGCAATCGGAATCCGATCAAATATTTATCGCTGGAAGTTGATCGTGTCGATCGGACGAGTGCGCGCGCATGCGCACGAGGCAAGTCGCAAGGCTCATTTCCGCACGCGAAATGAACGCGTTTAAAAAAAAAAAAAAAAACCGCCACCCTTTCTATTGGCCGGGAATTGGAAACAGCGATAAACAACGAACATGTTCCCCAGCATATAAAACCGGTGTCAGTAACCTCTGCGTTCCGAAATTTTGTAAATTCAACTTACGCGAACAAGTATTTACACAATTGCCCAAAAAAAAATCCCACGAGCCTCGAAAATCGTTATCGTCCACAAAATCGACTATCGATCCTTATCGACTTTCGTGTATCCACGCGCAACGCGCAGAACGATGATTCACTCGATTTAACAAAATCCGCCTTGCGGCAGATTCACAACGAGCGACTCCCGACTCGATTTCATTGATTCCCCGGATAATCGTTCCGTTCCTGTTTGCCTCCACGGTCGTTCTGAATCCGCTGATAGAATCCGACGCAGCCCGTTTACTCAAGGTCCGCACTAAATTCAGGGCTTTTCAATTGACTTCTTAAACGTCAATTGTCGCCGACCGTCGTCTAGCCCTAAGGAATTTCGGCGGGCAAAAATTAAAATTTTCCACAAACCCTCCAAGTCCCGCTACGAATTCACATATCCAGTTACGTGCAGCTAAGTATCCATCTTGCACGCGAACCATATACGAAGACACGTGACAGTGTCGCAATGGTTAGGTTGGGTACGTAAAATATCCACATACGTATAATCATACGAGTGATGCAACGAAACGAAACGTACAAGTGACATAACGTGTATTCGGTATAGGATTATCTCTCTCTGGGACTTTGTAGAGCGGCCACGGTCACCGTGGAGGCCTTCGCGTTATGCGCGTTACGCAATTCTCAGAGTCGGACGTGTAGAGAAGCCCCATCTCCACACGCATCTACACGCCTCCTACCGACCACTTTGAACGTACACGCGGGCACACGTGCGTACTGCGGAAACGCAACGCGCCGACGCGCAGCTTCGATAACAGTAGTGCAACATCCGATATGCTGCTGCTCTTTGGCCACACGTCACTTCCATTCATCAAGTGCGCCTCAAGGGGGGCCAAAGACCTCCAAACTTTCGAAACGCTTCCTGGACACGCGGAGTCGCGGCTCCTCGGGCAATTTTCTAGGCTTCGTCACGTCTTTGACTGTTGCGCAGCTTTTGCACTCGCGGCTGCCACGTAGTTGCGCGTGGGGCCTGGCGTGTCGATGCAATCACGGCCATTGGCTATCGTATCGATTGGCCGCTGCGTTACGGCCGCAGGAATTGATTCTTCAAATTAATGGAACACTGCAAGTATCGCCCCCTATCGGTAAGGCACGATCGTTACTTGCAAATACAATGCGAATTTGCTCGTTACCTTATCCGTGTCCTTGCGAATTATTATTGGGGGGGGATCGAGTCTTCCTCACCCGGATAATTTAAACGGTACACCGTTAGAGGACAGAGGGTGAAATTACGCGAGGAAAAATTTGATTTTGAAAATTTTCGAGGTCTTAAGATTATTAATTACGAATCAGGCTATCGGCAAATCGTTATCACTGCTTCTGAAGATCCGTCTCGGTCCGTTATTCATTTCTGACCTCGTGCGCGCTTATATCGATCGGCTATTCGCTAAACGGCGGACTCCTCGATAATCGATCGTCCTTCGATTAATTTTTAATTATTGCGCAATTCGTAAAGCCGTTCTTCTTTCCCAGCGATCGAACCGATCGATCGGTTCCGTTCGGTTCCAAGGATTCATTCGTTACTGGGTCAGAGAGTGCGCCGCTGTTTTTGGTTGGCTGAGCAGAAATAATCGTTTGTTTATTCGGCTCCTTTGCGGTGGTGGTTTTACGACTACCTGCGTGGTGTGTCGGTAGGGAAATTAAAAAAAAGAAAATAAAGTCGACGGAACTGCGACGCGATAAGGAAAACGTGACTGATAAGGAGAATCCGCTGTGCGGTTCCTATCGCTTTTGCGTAAACCGGTTGTCTTGTTTACCTTTTTCCTTCTTTTTTTTATATCGCTTATTTTTTTTATTTAAATACCTGCACGGTAAGTTTACTAATCGTACACCCGGTATATGGGAACTTATTAGAAAATCGTGTAAAAAAAGGACAGAGAGAGATAAATGTATAAAAATATTCAAGCTAAAGTCTGGCTCAAGGATTCGGTGTGAACTTAGCTTTAACAGGAAGGAACAGGAACTAAGAACAATGTGGTTCAACCTTGATATCCACTGCACGCGGCTACGACGTAGTTACGATTATTAAATGCAACTGCATAATGGAGGCCTGACATAACGATGCCACAATTTATAGCCACATTCCGGTAGGCACTGGATGTTCCGAGCACGTATGTGTACGCAATTGCACATACGTATGCGCACGCAAGAGTGCGATAACACACGGTAATAATCAGCTCGGAGTTGCCGATTCCGCAGCGCTCGAAAATTCCAGACGGCAATTTCGAGGGTAAATGTAATAAGCAAACTGTAATATATAGATATAGTGCTCGTGGACGACTTCGCTTTCGGTCTTATTCACAAGCGGCGACCCAGATCGCTTTAAACTAGTTTCCACCCACCCACATGACACGCACGATCTTTCGACAAATACGCCGTGTGTTCCAATTCGTTAAATACGCTCACCGCGAGACACGACCTTACATAAAGGCGATTACGTATGTAAAGTGTCGTACGCGTAACCGCGTTACGTCCTGAGTTAACGTAACCACTTTTACCGTACTCACCGTGCACGAGTAACCGGCTCGATCGATAAAGCCGCACACTGCCTGCTTAACCTTAACGCGTATACTCTTTGCTTTTTTCTCATGCAGCTTTCCCATTTTCTTACAGCCATGAAAACCCGCTCAAGGTTCATCGCGTGCAAGTATGACGAGAGGTTGGTTTTCATGAGAACGAAAAGTGACGTTACGTATTATTTTTTCAGGTTCTCTCCACGACGTCTGGTGCGAACGGGCTAGACCAGTGACAGCCGGTGGTCGCCAGGCTGATCATCCCCAGGGCCCGGTGAAGACCTCCAGGCACAACGGGGAAGCACCGGCGGCGGTCGGACCAGACCAGCAGACTAACCGATCCAGCCTGGCTCCGAATTCCTGGTTGGCGATCATCTCGAGCCACGTCGAAGCGTCGTTCTAAAAATAATGAGTAAAATTCTTGCTCCTAGTGGCTCAAGAGTACGGAGCACCGGGGCAGCGGGTGTCGCTCGTCTCCGCAAGAGCCAGGACTGTCGCACCGATGCGAGTGCGGCATGGCGCTCGGTTAATACGGAGAAGTTGGCCAATCGGCATATCGAGGCATCCACACCGGCAGCCAAGCGATCCTCATTGCCAAAATCCATGAGGCAACCGTCGGCGTTCTTTAGTTCCCTGCCAGCTCAGCCGCTACTGTTTAATTTAAGACACCCCTCAAATGTCACGAATACATTCCGTCGCGTTACGTTAAGCTTCCTATCTCCAATGGGACCGTTCAATAACACGTTATATACACGGCGTTCAAGGAGTAACGAGCGAAAATCGTGTTACCGCGATTCTCGAGCCGACCTAAGCACTCGAGTGGGCGATTGGGAGCTGGTAGCTTGCCACGAAGGCAGAAAGTAATTTTTCAAGTTTGATCTTTGACCCTTGGTACTAATGGTTTCTCTGTCTTCGAGTAAACAGACGATTATGAGCTTTCCTCTGTGCTCCAATCGTAGCCAGTAACCGTGTACACAATTTTCGTCTCGCTTCTCGCACTTCTCGTAATACAATCTCAGGCCGTTGTGCATCTGTACGCGCTGCGGCTGCTCCGGCGCGCAGCCGTGTGCGCTATTATAGGTGGGCGTCGAGTGAAATTCTCGTGGCCAAGCAATCTCTCCTTTACGAGCCGTAATCCGAGGCGATAAAAACTTTTCCTCGTTAATCTCGTCAGCGTTGCGGATTAACGTTAACAGCTCGAGGATTCGCGGTGGAGATGATTTAATGCCGATAATACATTTAAATTAATACGAAATCATGTAAAATCTCCGTACAGACCTAAGGCATACCGATACATTTGTTTTTTCATCCAAATTGTTAAATCGGCAAGACATTCGAATAAGATCGGTGCTAGAGCGTCGCGTCGACCTATATTTATTAATAGATCCCGAAGACCTCGTGCTCGCGAAGGTGCAGGCATGTGTCACCCCAGGAATACCTCGACCGAGTGACCGTACTCTGTCTGCTAGCCCCGCGTCTGCGGCCGCGACTCCAAGTGTGCTGCGTGAGACGAGGCGCGTTTGCTCATCGAGAAAATAGCGAACGATAGAGCCCGGATTACGTAGGGGACGTCTATAGTTGTCTATTGCGAGATCAGCCGAACGGACATGCCGGTGAGGTTAGGTCGTGGGAGATGTTTGCGCTCGTCATATTCTAACCGGCCCGTGTATATACATAGTTTGGCGTGAGGCGGGCACAGGTGGGACTAGGCTGGGTGCTGCTGTTTTGTCATCGGAGCCAGGAATGGCTCGATGATGACTAACGATAGCATTGATGATCGGTATCGAATGGTTCGAGTTACCATAAAAATACATGTCGTCTCGTATGATGTTATTCGCTCGAGAATTCTAGGGTTTTTCCTGTGCATCGGCTTATACAGGGTGTGCGTACGGGATACGTGCGGGACGGGGATTTGGCTAAGGGTGCGCAAGGGACTCATCAATCATTTGCCAGGAAAACTTTATGGGACAGTATTTCACGTGTGTCGGTAACCCCGTGACACCTATTGTGGGTTTTGCCTGGCTGTGAAAAGTTTGTGTTGCTTGGGTCGGTGCACGCGAGCGTCGTGGTCATTAATCAAGCGTAATCGATAACCTGTCAAGTCGATCTAATTTGGGGAATAAATTTTAAGGTCATACGTGTCTTGGGCGTAGTACCAGTGGCGCCCCTGCCGGCAGTACGCGGAACTAAGTCTTCAAAGGAAATTTATTCCCTAACATTTTAAAAGCATTCTAATTTTGTGCATTCCAAAGGCAAAGTGTTCACAAAGTCGTGGAGAAGGACAGTAGACGAGTTGTTCCGGTACGCGGGGAAGTTTCCTTTCACCGGTTCGGTCGCCGATTGTAAATTGACAATTGCGACAGATCGATCGAGATCGTGCGTCGCGCCTCGGCGAATTTACAATCGAACGTTGCTCGCCGCTTGTACAGGAGAGAAAGCCAATGAAGATTCATCGGCGATCATCCTCGGCATAGAAGAAATAATGTCGATCGATCGCTTCATGGAAACGGCTACTCGTGCACAGGTATTATACGTACCGTGACAAAACATCGGGTTTCCCGAGAAACTCGGAGTCCACTGTGTGTTTACGAGCGAGGAAAGAGGCGAAGGCGCCTCCAGCTGTAGGAGCCGCAGGTTAGGCGCGATAACTCTTCGCGTTATTCTTGACTCTCGGCCGACGATCGACAGTCCCGGCCGACATGTTGCTTCTTAATTGAGATTGCTAATTGCATTGACCTTGAACCATGGCTGGGAGGGCCCGGGGAGAGGATGCAGCTTCTATCATTAGCAAAGTTCGCGGGTCAAAGTTCAGCAGCGTCAAGTTATTCGCGTGCTGGACCAGAATATTTATGGTGCTTCGCTCGCGGAATTATTGACCTCGTTCCAAAGGATGACCTCACGAGTGAGCATCTGTCTCCAGATGATCCTCCCTAGCTCCCTGCTCCCTACGCGCCACTTGCGCCTCCGCCACTGCTTCGTTCTCTGCGCCACGAATTTCAGCGACTGGCGTCCCTGCAACCAGGCGGCATCGCGTACATGCACACGCGCATAGGTCATAGGCGTAGGAGGGAGGCTGTTAAATTTCGCAAGAAGCGCATGGCTCCGCGAAGTTGCTGGTCCAATTTCATTTTTTTTTACCTTTTCCACTTTTATCTCATTTTTATCCTTTTTTCAAGACTACTTACAAATACACGTCTTCGTTCCTGCTTCCATACTGCACGCGTGTTACGTGTATACCTCGAAATTCAACTACTCGCAACGCATGACAAGCAATACGTTGATCCACTGCGAATTCCTGGAGATTTTTATTTGAATCTCCCGCGCTATTTACATTTTTCTTTTTTTACAATCTTTCGACAATTATTGCCTCTGTCACGATTGCGCAATCGATTTTTCGAATCGAATCGTCACGAGGTTCTCGATTATCATTTCCTTCGCGTCGACTCGACGTCCGACGAAATATCGACGCCTCCCTTCTTCGGGCACCCCCCTCCGCCCCCCTCTTCCCCCACTCCTAGGTAAAAGCTATTCGAAAAAAAAGTTGCTTAGTCTTTGCCAATCTGTCGCGGTTTCCTTGCGTTTTGTCTCGTTCTCGTTTTCCCTTTCGGAATCGTGCTCCTGGGTCACGCCCCGACGATTCGACTACTTTCTGTCTTCAGCTTTAGGCGTCGCGACGCCGGGCAGATCGCTTCGGTGACTTCAGGAATCACGCCGTTACACGCGCCAACGACGTCTGGTATTTCAGCATCGAAATCTTTTTAAATTTACCTACGTCTTGACGCACTGACGTAATTGGGGTCTGTTTTGAAAAAAAAAAAAAAAAAAAAGTGACTGTACGGCAAATTAATACTGACCTCTCGCAATAATTGTACGATTACTTCCTATTGTTTTGCTTTGGGCGCGTGGTCTAATTTTTTAAACATTCTCTTAGCTTCGCTACGACTTGCCTTGTGTACCGAGTGAAAGTGTTTCTTGCTTGTGTATAAATTTCCAATTTTTATACCGTCCAACGGAAACACATTTCTTTGGAACATTCGTTCATTGCGAACGCGGCTGTCTGCTTACGGAAAAGTGAAAATCTAACGAAATTTCAGCCGGCTAATTCGGCACTGGCGGCCGTTTGTTTGAACGAGTAGACGAGGCTTTAGAACAGACAGAGACGGTGGGGTTTTCTATAGGCTGAGAAAAAAAAGAATAGTCGTAAAGAAACGCGACAAAAAGTAAACGGCGGGTTCGGATAGGCGATATCGCGGACGTTACGGAACGCAGTTGTAAATCTCGTAGGAACGAATCGTTATCGCTCGAGTTAAGACGAAGCGAAGTAATCGTAAGTAGTTTTCGCTGAAAATAATTCTTTAGGGGGACAATCAACCTGAGCTGCCTATAATCCTAGAACACAGTGCGAAATCTCATCGGTGCGGAATTCGCACTGATTGGAAAGTGCAAAGACCCACTCCTGGAGATATGACCGTCCTCGAGTGCGTTCTCGGTACGAACTGCGCCAAGTAGTTAATCATTTTTTTATCAGTCTTATCACTTTTGAGAAAAAGATTTTTTCAAGTGACCGTGACACGTGGAAAGTAAAACAAAAAAAAAATTACATCGATCAGCCATCACGAAGATAACCGAACCACGTGGTCTATGCCAAAATGCAAAACTAAGCTAACTGGCAGTGTGCAAGTGCAGCGAGTACGGAGAAGAATGATTTTACTGTGTTGAAAAATATTTACTTTTTTATTAAAAAAAAATACAGTTTCAGCTTACAACAAGAATTATTAAAGAATGCGATAAACGTTATCAAAAATAATGGATGAGTATGAAAATTTTATCTTTTACTTTTTAATGTCTCTCTGCTCGAGAATGTAATACCAGATAGCGATTCTAGGGGTAGGCTTTCCGTAGAGGGGGAGGGCAGAGGGGGGGGGGGCGTCGGTTGTACCGGGAGCTGGGTCGTATTGATCGTACTGAAAACATTCGCCCTTTACGCCCACGCTCGGCGTCCTGCGGGTCTGCACAGTACAGGGTTTACCTACTACGCCCGAAACCCTTAGGTTTTCCCTTCAAGAGATTTCTCTCGGCTTCGTTCGCCTTTCCTATCTCCCTGTAGCCAGTGTCTCTATTAATCGGCTGTTATACCTTTCTTTCAGTTCCAAGAGTCCTTTCTCTGTGAGCAAACGGGAAAAGAGACAAGCGAAAATATAGTTCTGACTCAAGATAAACGAATGGTTCGCGCATACCCAAGAGTAGATATATCTCGACACTTTTCGTTCTATACTCAGGGGGTTGTGGATCGTGCCTTACATTGGTGCATGTGTCCGCTTTACGGTGAGAATGCAAAATTTCCGAACACCCGGTAGCAGTGTGCCGGCTCCGTGACCGGGCTTTCAGGGAAGCTTTTGCGGCATGGGCGAAAAGCTCAGATCAATATCAAGCCGCGAATTGGGACGTTACGCGAAGATCGACCCGCGACCTCTGACCCACTCTCTGGACCCGCCCGTGCCATCGTCAGCGCCCTCTTTTTCTCTCCCTACTTCACCCCAATCCCTGCTACCCTCCAACTCCATCGTTCTCACCCAGGCAATCCCGACCTCGGTAAACATTCGTCAATTTTTCACCATTTCCTACGCGTTAATTTTCTTTCCGCTTCGCGCTTTCAGCCGTTATTCTTAAATTAACCTGTCAAACAGAGTTTTTTCCCTTTTTGAAAAAAAAATAAAATAAAATAAATTCCATAGGTAACAAAATTTTTTAATTTATCACTTCGAGTCTCCCTCTCTCCCTTTCACTCTCTCTCTCTCGTTCGATTTTCAATTAGCCCACCCTCTATTGACTTATTTATTTACACGTAAAGTTCAAAGACTATACGTCACGCTGTGGGAAGCCTAGCAGGGTTGGCGGGGCTAAAATTAATTCCGCGTTGCCTAGATTAGGCGAACGGTCGCGAGGTTTCCCTGCCGCGTATACTCGCTGTGTAATAACTCAATAACTCAGAACTGTACGAGCATTTTTTGGGACAATCATATGCAGATAATTAATGCTTCGGGACTTGTGTGGCGTTGCAACTATTTTTGGAATGAAAAATCATACCGATTTAATATCTCGAGTCGTGGTACCACTGGGCACCATTGGTATCGACAGAAATTCCTTTTGAAATTAAGAAGCTCTCTCTAACTGATTGTCAAGACCAAAGGAGTATGAGTTGCGTATTATTCTTTAACGTTTCTTTACGAACTCGAGCTTGGTCGATATTACGGGGCTGATGGTATCGTTGGTGATTAGGCCAGTACAACACACTATAGCCAAATCCAGCGTATCGATTCACCTTATATGGAGGTGGATATTTTTAGCCATTCAGACATTTTCGTACGACGGGAGTGGCAGCTGAACAAAGTTTTCTGGCTGCACGCACTTTTCTCATTTTTTAACTTTTTTTTTTTCCGAGCAAAATTTATACACACAGTGGTGCTAAAAGACACGTGCCTTTTGCTTGGTTCTTATGAGCTGTCATTATTTACACAGACACGTGCTTTTTTGTATACTCCGTGCGTGTAGACTTTCACTAGGTAACTCTTTGCTGTGTATCAATATTGGTTATATTGGTATCTCGTCAAGTTTCCCCTCTTGGCCGGCGAACACGTGGAAAAACATTGGCTCGTCGGTGAATGGAAAAAATGATTGTCGGTTGGTTCATTGATTGCCTTTCGAAACGACTGATTCATAAGTCAATGAGTTGGTAAATGAAATAGAAATTTGTGAAAATTCGTGCTCTCGTGCAACGCGGTTCGAAAAAAAAAAATGTATTTCAAAGAAATGCAAAATTAGGTAAACACCATCGAGTCGGTAACGAAGTTCTGTCTCAATGCGGAAACCGCAAGAATAATTAAGAGGAGGAAAAATAGAAGAAGTTTCTTGTAATAAATAAAAATAATATTATTTCACTCCGTACGACAAAAGGCTTAATAAAGACTACGAAAGAGTCGCAATTATATCACGAAAAAAGACAATAACAAGACACTCCCAATTTTCACGGAGCGACTTTCCAGCCGAAGCCTCAGTGACACGTGTAGGTTCGTGACGTCGAAGATTTACAAGGGATTGCGTAACAAGAGCACAGAACGCGTATGGGATAGCGTGTAACCGAAGCGAAGCCCGTATTACCTGAATCGTAGTCCCGTATAATGTAACCCGTAACGTTCATTTCCTATGTAACCAAAGGGACTTATCTTTAGCGTGCATTCCCGCTGACGTTTTACAGTAAACTCAATATATCGCGTATACCGAAAGTCAACGAGTCAAATTTTGAAAAAATTTTTATTCCCTATCCAAGCAGCAAGATCGATACAGACCACACACGCAGAAGAAATTTCGTAACGGGATTCAATCTGTTTCTAACGAGAAAGTTCTTGGTCGAAAAGGCGGCTAAAACACTTCGGCACGTCTAATCGCAGAGTTGCGTAACTCGTGTGCCCAGTGATCGGGACTGGCGTGGGAGTATCGAATCGTAACGGAGATCGATCCAGAGGCGAATCTTCGGATGCACAGGAGGTTATTAGAAATCGATAGAATTCGTGTCATCTTTGCATCCCGGCCAAGGCCTGCCAACCGCGTGACAGATGCATTCCAATTGGACGCCTCTGTGCATAATATTGAAACGAGCCAATTGGAAATAACAATTTGCTAATTCATTGTTAGCGTTAACATTGACATCGTTCTCGAGTGTGTTTACGGGAAAAGTCCTTCTTTCCTCTCTCTCTCTCTCTCTCTCTCTCTCTCTCTGTATCTCTTACTCCTTCTAGATAATTACAAGATCTACAGCTTTATCTTCACGAAACGTGTCGCAGTCGTCGCGACGCCCGTCTGAATGTTCGTCTCGAAGGAGACGCGTGACAGCTGTAATATATATATATATATATACACATATATAGATATATATTACGTGAACCAAGGCACAGGCGCACGCTACTCCTATCACCGGTATACGTGATCACCTGAGTACCAACCGATGTAACTGAGTCAGTCGAGAGAAAGAAAAAGAAGGCCAATTCACATATGGTCGTACGAGGCTTCATTAAGTCAGACGCTACGAGTCGACGTGCCGGCAGCAGTATTGGTACACGTATAATTGTATAAAGCCAAGTTCAAACGAGGCGAAAGCCGTAGAGAAGAATATTCGCGCGTTCGTGCTCCTTTGCCATGCAAATTGCCTTGCTAAAACGCGAAGACGCGAGGTAAATTATAACCCGTGTAGGCGCGTGTCTGTTGATGCTTTTTTTTTCATTTTTTTCTTCCAGTCTTGGCATTTCCATATGGGAGTATCTCATGCATTCCTCGCTACTATTGATACCTTACAGGTAGATAAGAGTGACAAATAATTACACCGATGAGTGATCGATGAATCGCTTACACAGATTCATTCAGGGATTCTACGTGTACACGATCGTGCAGTTGAGTTACGTAAGTCGGAATTTATTTCCAGCTCTTTACCTATAGCGGATCAGCGTGCATAATAATTTTCCAATTTGACGATCAAATCAATTAACGAACGAGAGGATATCGATTGGAAAGCGAATCTGGTGGAAGTTGCAAAACTGTGCTGCAGCTTCCGGAAGGTATATTTAAGCGTGGTTGAAATCTGGACCAGTCGCAAGTACACGCGCCTGAAGCTACAGTATATATACCAAACGTACAGCGTGTCGTGATCGGATGCGATGAAAAGATTTCAGGCGATAAATATAACGGGGGTGCGAATAGTTGACGATAAGGGTACAGAAAGCAAGTGACCTAGATCGAGGCTGTTTCGTTAATTAAAATCGCGCGTGGCGTTGATATCTGTGCCACTGATAAGAATCGGTACGACTGTAGCAACGGTCCATGGACAATTAGCTTGGAAAATTTGGATCTCGATCGATTAAGATAAATGAAAAAAAAAAAAAAAAAGAGGTACTCACATTCTGACAAGAGCACTCCAGCAGGTCCAGAGCACAGCCTCTCCTCACTAATCTCACGAGTGTCCCAGGATGCACACTGGTATATAATCACAGCACAAGTTTCCGCTCGGGATCTCAATTTTTATGGAGAAAACCAAATTTACACCAATCGATCGAATTTTCTTGATTTCCGATAAGATGTCAAAGCGATTTATTTACTTTGGTAATAGGTAAACCGGGCACTCGTTATCGATTTTTCTCGCGTTTCACCTTCTCGTTCGCGCGTGGACCTTAACGATCTGTCGTTATTTTATAAGATTTTCTCTCGGACTCACGCCCCTTCTAAATCCCTGTAAACTTCGATCTTTTTTTTTTCAATTGTTTATCGTAAAAGGAAAATCTCGAGATGGGCAGTCGCGCGTCCGTGAGAGCGCGCGTACGCCTTCAAAACATGTAACGGGTGTCGCGAGCGTAACGCGAGCGTAAAGGTAGTATGCAGTACGGTGTACCAGCGGAGACTGTGTTCGCAATGGTTCCCAATGTTGGCGGATGTCTGATACTACGACAGGGCGGGGAGAGAAGCCACGGTACTAGTGACGTAACCGGTAGCCGCCGGAAAGGGGTGGCAGCAGAGTGCCGATGGTGGGGTAAGGGTTGCAGCCGATCCCAGCGTTGGTGGGGTTGAAGTCGAGGCCAAAGAGAGGGGATGGATGCCGGTCATTAGTGCCACTGGGACACGGAACCAAGTTCTTCCCCCTCCGAGCTCCACCACCCCCACCACCCCCCTCGACCCCACCTCGTCTTACCTTCTATCCCCTCCATCGGTCTTCCGTTACCAGTCCTGTAACTGGTATTACCCCCAACTCCACAAACTCACCACCCCCTTATACCCAGTGGTACCCACGAGTGCGCCTGTACCCCGTGCCCGCATCCCTTATACTATCATATATGTATATACATATATTATTTCATCCCCTTTACTCGAGTAACACCTTACGTACATTTAATTCAGGTTCATTGTTTTTTTTTTTTTTGTGGCTGTATATGACTGTTGGTATGCTGCACGAGAGTCAGGGAGCCATTAGGTTGGTAGCAGTGCTATACAAGGATGGCTGGCTTCTATGTTTCGACAGTACTGACGTATGTTGGGTATATGTACGCATATCGGGTCAAGGCTTTCGGCCAAGCACAATGGCCAATGACTGTTCTTAATGTTTATTTCTAATTCATTATTCATACTGCTATACATCATATGCGTTGAGGTATGATTGAACGATTTCAAATTTCCCGCCGCGAGGCAAACATTTTTCCGCGCTGTCCGAGACACTCGCAATTCGTGCTTTTATTCTGGGTGATATTTCACGTGCATTTCGATGTGTCCTGACTGGAGCCAGTGACTGACTCTGTTTTGAAAGTGAAAATTCTATCATGGATTTTCGATCCCCAATTGCGAAGTACCGTTACGTGACATTTGATAATGATAGATTAGCAACTTCCATGCTAATCGTATCATCGGTAATTGATTCAATGCTGATACACTTGAGCGGTTCGATTATTTAATGCCAGTTGCCAGATCCTTATGCGGCTGTACGGTTCTCTTGAGGGGAAGATCGATGGCTGAGAATTTCTCAGAGTATTTTGTCATTTTGTCAGCCACTTTGTTGCATGGCGACTTAATGAAAAGTTACGAGAACGAATTTGGCATGATATTTAAAAATATACGATTTCTTATTTTGAAAATTTCAACTTGCTAGAATCAATTTGTAGCTGCTCCATTCTTGTGTTATCTGATCCAATTTTACGATTTTAACTAGTGCATGGGTCACCAACCCTCTCGTGGGTTCCATTTAACTGATTGTTCCAAATTTCGGAATTCCCATTTGTCGATTTTCCAATCTTCTCACTAACTACCAGCATCCCCAGCTGTTACCACGACACCATTTGTCTACTTGGCCACGAATTGCATCTCAAAATTCCCGCCTTCGGGTTTTTAAATGGACTTGGTACCAGAAATATAAACAATGTATACAGGCAGTCTAAATAAAATGCTATTCATATATAAATATCCGACATCAATCCCTAATCAGCCATTTTGTTTCAACCCCCCCTTAAAATCGGATTGAGAGTAATACGAGTCTCGGTATAACAAAAAGGTCCTAGATAAGCTTGCAGAGATTAGAAAAGGAGAAATGCCTGAAGGTTTCCGCTATTGCCTTCAGTAATGGTTCACGATACAAAATGACAGGAACGAATTGGGTCACGAGTTACGGAAATAAAAAAAGAAACAAGAAAAAAGGTATTACTGACAAAATAAAACCGACATCCGATAAAGTTACTGATACAGAAATTACACGAGTAAAAAGACTGCAGAGCGATAATTATAAACTGTACGGTCGCGCGAATCGATACCTGTGAATCTTCTAGTACCGAACCGAATCTACAGGCTTTTGAATAAACAAGAAGCGTTATTCACCGTACGGTGATTATCTCAGGGATAATACTTTACAGGATGGATTACCATACAGAAAGTGAGGGTCTGTCGGCTTTTCTTGGCTGGCATCTCGGTTGTCCCGTGTTTGCATTTACAATTATTATAATCGTTAGAAGGTCCATTACCGGGATGGGCGAGGCCGCGGTTCTCTCCTATTAGCTTTTTGAAAGTGGCTCCTGTAATAAAGTGCCGGCAGCGCGCTTACGCTGTTTCTGGGATGCTGCTGGCTCTGCTTCTGGGAAACCGTTCTGCGCTCTGGCTGCGCTGCGGATGAGTCTAATAACTTTTTAGTATTCATGGTCGGTCGTTAGTCCAGGACCATTAAGATAAGCGACACGTATCTCAGAGACTTTTACAGCGACTTGACGTGTAGCCACACGCGTATAACATATAGACACTCGCGACAAGATCTCCGGTACAATAACGTCACAGCATCTCTATCGGTCCAGATTCTCTTCCCGAGAACTTCGAATCGAACCCTGCGGCTTCTTCACAGACGATTTCTACTTCCCAGGCAAGATGGTCTGGACCACCGTAGATGAGCTTTCTCGATCTTGGAACAGCACCCAGAGGCATCCTCCGAAGTTCTCCCGTCCCTGAGTACACGTGGGTTGGCTTACAGTCGTTCGGGTCCAGGATGATCATCCACTCGAGAGAGTCAATCTCGAGAGGTAATGCAAGACCATTATAACGTTTCATTCGTGAAATCCGAGGATCAGGGTGCCTCAATGCCACAAGAAGCCTCTCCCTGAATGTCTGAACGCGACTGGGTACTTTCTACTCTCCCTACGGCGCCCCCCTTTATCCCCCCTTCTGAACTTGATTAAATGGTGTCAGGAATTGCCCTTGCTCTTCATCACGATCATCCTGGTTCTATCTTCCTCTGGCAGGGACCGACTGCAGTCTCCTCTCTCTTTATACATCTCGTCCCAACCTTCAGGATTCTCGCACCCTGGACCAATCCACCCGTCGCAGCTTCCGCTGCACCTACTAACTACTAGCTATACTAACCTGCCATCCTCCAGGACTGGATTCGGTCTAGGTGTCTCTGGTGGATATTGGAAATCGATGCAAGACGTCCCAGCGCCCGAAAGCTTCTCGAGAAAAAGTATCTCGCAGACTCTTCGTATCTTCGCTCCGAGAGTCAATGGATGCGGGATGAAGATTCCGCTTGATCTAAATGTAGATCTGTGCAATATCGTATTGGGCACGTGAGAGCAACTGAATTTTATCCAGACTTCACCGGAAATGATCTTTGAGGGTCACTCGTATCAACGGACTCGGATTTTACGATCGGCACGGAGATATTGATCCGGGCCGAATTGCGTCACAGCGACGTCACTCGGAGTCGTTCGATGTGGAGAACTCATGGAGACAGATGGTCCGCGCGTGCCGTCTGCGAAGACAAGACGCCAATATCAAACTCCGACTGACTGCCGGCCTTTATCCTGCTCTGTCTACTTGCGTTTTCTTTATCTTCATCTTTTTCTTTCTCTTCTTCTCCCGAAAGTCGAGGTACTCCCGCTGTGTCCATTTCTCCATATCTCCTCTATCTACGCTTTGCTGCATCGTGCACAATGTTTTTTCTTCTTTAACTTCCTTCTGCTGTTCCCGGAGGCTGGAACCTTTTTCCTCTGGACCAACACGCAGATACTTAAATTTTCGAACTCTGCACTTGTAGATCTTTATCCGGGGGGGCCTGCCGAGAGAGTCGATAGTCAGGGACACCCTGGGATTCCCGATCGGCTGTGATTCTGGCAGATCGATGATCGGAGATCAAAATCAGCTGATCGCAAAGATTTATCAGATTTCACAAAACGGAAGCGTCCCGACGTTTTGGGTACTTTTTCGACATTTTTTTGTTATATATAGATATAGAGCTGCGTACGTTTTTGTCTATGTTCAAATAGACGAAAATGATGTTATAGTTATTAATATATATCTATAGACATCTATAGTATCTCTAAAGTAAAACAGTCCTTAAGCCGAGTTTACACGAGGAACGACACGTGCAGGTAAATTTTATGTCAACACGCTAGACTCCCCGACCAAATCGGCCATTATATCCATTTTTCATCAGATAAAATCTAACAGCCGAAATTCAATCGATACAGATAACCAAAATATCGATAGCAACACACAGCGCGCGTCCCCTTATCTCCTCGTCTTCTCATGAATGGAATTGACCGCGTGATTGTCATGACACCCTGACCCAGGTCAGCCGCTCGGTCGTTCAGTAAGAAATGAAATAAAAGAATGAACGTTGCACACTAATTTCTTTTTTTTTATCAGCTGGCTTCACTCAGTCATTAAAATCAAAGTTTAAGAGCCACATTACCGCGTGCAAATCTCACATTGCGAATCACGTTGAAAACTCGTTATTTCTCTTTTGGCGATCAATCACGAAGTCATCACGCTGCGCTCGATAACGTTTCAAAGACCACGTGGAGTCGAGTCAAATAATTCTGCCGTTCATATATGTGTATATATATACATAGAATATAAAATTCAACGTGCCG